ACTGACACAAGAATAGACATGTAGACCAGCGGGACAGAGCAGAGGACACAGAAACAAACCCCACAGCTACAGCCATCTGATTCTGGACAGAGAAGCCGAAAATATGTACTGGAAAAAAATAGCCTCTTTAAACAAATGGTGCTGGGAAAATGGGATTAGTACTTGTGGAAGACAAACTCGATCTCTCTCACCCTGTACAAAAATCACTTCAACATGGATCGAAGACCTGAAACTTTGAAATTGCTAAAAGAGAAGACAGGGCAAACCCTTGAAGCCACAGGCAAAGGCAAAGACTTCCTGAACGGGACTTCAGTAGCAAAGGAAATGGGAGTAGAGTCAACAAAGGGGAATATGTGGAATTAAAATTTTCTGCACGGCAAGGGAAACAGCCAACTGAGTGAAGAGACAGACTACAGAATGGTAGGAAATATTTGCTAGCTGTTCTTCTGACAGAGTAGTAATAGTATATATGAAGAACTCAAAAAACTTAACATCAAAAATATCCTACAGCCCAACCAATAAGTGGGCAAATGAACCGAACAAAGTACACATGCTCAAAAGGTATATGAAAAAATGTTCACCATCTTTAGTTATTAGGGAAATGCAAATCAAACTATAATGAGATTCAATCTTACCCCAGTCAGAGTGGCTATCATCAAGAATACTAAGTAAATAAATACTAAACAAATAGAAAAATACATAAATTAAAAAATGAACGCTGGTGAGGATGGAGGGAGAAAGATCCCTTCTACATTGCCAGTGGGAATGTAAATTAGTGCAGCCACTATGGAAATCAGTATAGCACTTCCTCATAAAATTAATATTTTCTTTTCTTTTTTTTTTTTTTTTCTTCCAGTACCAGGAATCGAACTCACGACCTTGCGCTTGCCAGGCAGGCACTTTGCCACTGAGCTAAATCCCCCGCCCCTTCCTCATAAAATTAAAACTGGAGCTACCGTGTAATCCAGCTCTAGCACTCCCTGCTATCTACCTACAGGAACTAAAGCCAGCATACACCAGGGATGCCTGCCTACCCGTGTTTATTGTGGCACAACATACAATGGCCACGATGTGGAACCACCTTAGGTGCCCATCAACAGATGAATGCATGAGAAAATGTGGGCTATGTGCACAAGGAGGGATTATCCAGCCTCAGGAAGAAGTAAATTCTGTTACTGTGGTAGACCTGGAGACCATGGGTTGAGTAAAATAAGCCAGGCTCAGAAAGATAAATATTGCATGTTCTCCCTAATATACAGAATCTTTTTTTAAAAATGACAAGAAGGTAGGAGAGAAACTATTATTAGACAAGAAGAGGGGAGTAAGAGAGTGAGGGTGGGGAGCATAAAGGCAGATCATGAAGGGAGAGCTATGAGCAAAATGTATACATCCACACAGTGTGAAAATACAGTGGGGGGGGCGAGAGTGATGAGGGTGAGAGCGGTCAGTGTCTGCCGTGTGTACATACACATCCACGAGGACAAAACCCGGGAGCCTGTACAAGCAATAAAAATAGTGGAAAAATCATAAGAAAACTGGAAAATTTTACATCTAAAGAAACAATAATCTTCTCCCTCCTTTCTTTTTTTTTTTTTTTGTATCAGGAATCAAATTCAGGACCTTGCACTTGCCAGGCAGGTGCTGTGCCACTGAGCTACATCCGTGGCCCTGTCTTCTCCCTTCTAATTGTTCTTCTGTCTAATCTGGATCTCTACCTTATCTATAATTACATATACTTTAAAACTTGAAGCCCACCAGATTTTTTTAAATGTGTATTTTATTAGCACGCATTTGCAGTACATAATGATTACATTCATTGTGGCATCAGATTTTTAAAATTTAGAATTGTAATTTTATTTAATTCATTTAATTCTCCCTGTACTGTTGTACTTTATTTATTTGCTCTTGTTATGAATAAATGCCATGGTAAATGTCTTTATATAAAAACTTTAGTTTCTCAGTATTTCTTTGGTAAAGATTCCTCAAAGTGGTATAACTGGGTCAACAGGGATCAACTTTGAAGAAAACCTGCCAAACAGCTCTGTAACAAGATCAACCCATTTATATTCCTGCCAGTAGGATAGGAAATTACCTGTTTCCTCACCCCTATCCCAACACTGAATTTTTTAAGCTTTTGCTAATTTGTTAGCTTCAATGTATCTCATTGTTTGAATTTGCATTTTCTTGGAAACTAGTGAGGCTGAATACTTTTAATGTTATTAGATGTTCTGAGAATTGTCTACTGGGATTCAAATGTTTAAAAAATACAACCATATTTAAGTCTTTAAAATTTATATTGATGCATGGTAAGAAGTAAAACTATAATTTAGAAGCATTTCCAAAATCTTACCCAGTTACTCCGGTATCATTTATTCAATTTTTTTTATGCTTTAATTTTTGTATGATCAAATTCTAATTATATGGAGGTTTCTTTCTGACCTATCAATCTAGTTCATTTAGCTATCTGTCGACTTGTTACCAGGGGGTTGGGGAGAGAGGAATGAGAAATTGTTTAATGTTATGGAGTTTCAGCTTGGGAAGATACAATTTTGGGGTGGAAGATGACGCCTGCACAACAGTTAATGTAGTTAATGTCACTGAGCCCTTAAAACCATCAGGATGGCAAATTTTCCATTATGTGCTTTGCTTTGAATGTGTCCCCCAAAGTTTATGCACTGGTGATTGAATCCCCAAGGCAACCGTGCTGAGAGGCAAGACAAAGAGTGATTGGATCAATGCCAGTGCGTTCATGTTGCCATCACGGGAGCAGGCTCCCTGTCTTCAGAGTAGGCTTGTTATAAAACACAACAGGAAACGGGGAGACAGACTTTATGGAGATGTGAAGGGGATCCCGGGATGGGGGGGCAGGGGAGTGGAGGTGAAGAAGAGGTAAAGGGACCTACATGCAGTATGTTCTGTACACGCACTGACACTCCATGATGAATATACTGCATTCGTTATGTATCACACACACATACTAATAAAAAGCTTATTTGCTCTTTTTAAAAAAAGATTTAAAGATATTTTTAAAAAGTGATCTTGGCTTTCTTACTCAGTCTCATATTAGTCTGCCCTTCTGAGATGATGCAGTAAGAAGACCCTCCCCAGATGCAGGTCCCTTGATGCTGTATCTCCCAGCTGCCAGTATGTCCTTAATACATTATCCAGTCTAAGAGATTCCGTTATAGCTGCACAACATGGGCTACGATCATTGTGCACGGTACCACAATTTTTTTTTTTTTTTTTTTTTTGGTTATTTTTCCGGTACCGGGGATCTAACTCACGACCTTACGCTTGCCAGGCAGGCACTGTGCCGCTGAGCTAAATCCCCAGCCCCTGTACCATAATTTTTAAAAAGTCACTACTGCCATTTCAAGATGCCTTCAGGAATTTCTGGAGAGATGAAGGTGTGGCGGTTCTGAAGGGTCGAAAGGGCCTGAAAGCTCCATGTGTCTCCCCTATACCAGCGGTAGCGAACCTAGGCACACGTGCCGCAGCGGGCTTTTTGTATCACTGAAAGCTCTAAAAGGTTCGCCCTCATTGCCCTATAACTTGCCCCATGCACCTCTTCCAACTGGCTGTCCGCCTGTATCCTTTGTAATGCCCTTTCTAGTAAGCTGGTAAACAGCCTGCAGGCCGCACTAGCCGCTTCCAGGTATGAACAGCCGCCCCACCATCCCGGGCAGCACTAGATCCATGCCTACCTCTTCACCCACCATTAAGTTACCACTGCCAAAATAACAAACACTTGCATTCGCCTGGCTCCTGTGGCTTCAACCTGGCCTTTCTGGCCGCTCGTCGGGAAGATGTGGCCTCAGTCTGTGCCTCGTCCAGATGTATGCAATCCTCCTGACTGTTTACGATGGGACTGTGAAGGTGACTTGTTGGTCTTGCTCCCCGCCGTACCAATAATGTAGAATAAAAACATCACCTACTGGAAAATAAAAGATGTTTCTAAAAATAGTTTTGGAAAAACGGGGGGAAATGCAAAAGTTCACGGTGCACCCATTTCATGAACTGATTACAGGAGATAGCCCTCAATTGGAAGGGAGAGACAAAGTGTTACGTGGGTGTGAGGCAGATGCCTGCCTGACACTGATCTGAGACTTTTCTGATTCTAACAGGGGCTCATGTTGTTTTTTCCCACGAGCTGGTCTCCCACACCCAGCCCTACTCCGAGACGTGTTCCGATACACTTGAACCTCCCTCCAAAGAAAGGAGTTTGCATTCAGCTCTCCTTTCTCCCAGAAGGCTCCACTGTAACAATGCAGACATAAATAGCAAAGGCCTCTCCTCACTGTATCCACCAACTCCTCTATGCCACAGGTACTCGCCGAGCTAACCTATGCTCCTTCACACTGTTCTAACAGGACTGCAAGGGGTGATACTGGCCTTACGTCCAGAGGAAAGGGCACCTCAAAGGTCCACCCCAGACCAAAAACAAAAACAAAGAACCCCAGCTGCTACGAAGATGACCCAAAGAGCCCTTCACTGTACTGAAAACGGCAAGTTTGAAAAGGCAATGCAACCCAAACAAGATGTTTAAGCCCTGAAACCCCAATACAGACAAATGAAAAACCCTATGTATGAGAAATATCCCCATCACACCACCATCACAGGAGAGGAAGGAGGGGTTCGCAGACTCTGCAGGAAAGACGACAGGCGTTCCTAGGTTTCTGCCAAGTAGTGCCCACACTGGGTGGAGAATAGCGGAGGGGCAGGTTGGACGGCACCGAGAGGAACCCGGGGGAAGAGAAACTGGCAGGAAGGAAGGAAAGGAGGCAGGTGAAGACGTAGGTTGTTTAAGGCGGTGTGTAAAGCTGATGCAAAGGGAGCAAGAGGCGACCAACAACATTACACCGCGCCTCCGTTCCGTCTTGATTTGCCTAAATTCCGTGAAATCCCGCGAGAGCTCAAATCTCTAACCCTTCTTTAAGACCCGCCCGCCGCTCTGCCCCGCCCGCTACGGCTATGCCCCGCCTCTGCGTCCCGGCCCCGCCCCCCGCGCCCTGCGTATTCGGCGGTGTCAATAAAGTTGTAGCGATTTGTTGTTGCGGCGGACAAGATGGCGGCCTCCGTGCTGGGGTCGCTGCTGCGGGCTTTCCGGCAGGTCAGGCTCGCACCTTTCCCTCCACCCCTCCCCGTCACCTCTGACTTCCATGGCCTGCGGGTCCCCCACCACCCTGCCACTCATAGAGCCCACTGCGGGCCGGTCCCTGGGCCGTGGCTCCTCTCAGCTTGGTTCAGGGCAGGTCCACGCTGCAGAAGTAAATTCGGAGTTAAGCGGGTAACAGAGTCGCATTGAAAGCTGCGAGACTGACTCTGAGATACGTATAAGGGACTCAGTGTAGGCAAGGAAGAGAAGGGGTCCGAAAACTGAGGCTTAGAGACTTTAGCTGCACAAAGTGACTGAAGTCCATCAGCCAGGGAGGACGAAAGACGGGAACGTTGCCCTGGAAGCAAGCGATGACAATCTCAAGGAGTAGGGAGTGCGCAGCTGACTGCTGAAGGCTCTTCTGAAGCAGCGCTGAGGACTGGCTGTAGAGTTTAGCAGTGCGAGGGTTGTTGGGACCGTGAGTAAAGCAGTATCAATGGTCTGATGGGGGCCGGGGATGTAGCTCAGTGGCACAAGCGCTTGGCAAGCGCAAGGTCCTCAGTTTGATTCCCGGTACCAAAAAAAAGTTGCCGGGCGTGGTGGCGCACGCCTGTAATCCCAGCACTCGGGAGGCTGAGGCAGGAGGATCGTTGCGAGTTCAAGACCAGCCTGGGATACAAAGTGAGCTCAAGGCCAGCCTGAACTGTATAGCGAGACCCTGTCTCAAAAAGACCGGGGGGGGGGGGCGCGGAGGGGAAATGATGTGATGGGGACCGAAGTGGTCAAGAGAATAGGAAAGAAGAAATTGGAGACGATGAGTATTCATAAATATGTGCCAAATTGATACTTAAATTTCATTTATGCGTGTCTTATTTACAGAAGGTCATTCTAGAAGCATTGTATTTCCTCATGGGACTTTTGTTTAGTAATGAAAGTGGGAAGGGGCTTAGTTTATCTTTTTTGTTTATAGACTGAAAAAAAGTTGGCTCGCTTATGTTTATTCTCAGTTTTCTATTTTGCTATATGTTTATATATTTCTTCTATAAACAGCTGCAGGAAGCCATCGTTATTTTCTGTAGTTATAATTCAGTTAACATGTAGTATTTCCTCTGGTTTAAGAGACTTCAGTTTCTAGCAGTTGATACCCTACCCCTTTTGCCTGTTTTGTTGGTTAGAACTATAAATTATTTGCGAACTAGTGCGGTTTTTTTTGTTGTTTTTTTGTCTTTTTGAGATAGGGGTCTTGCTCGCTATGCAGTTCAGGCTGACCTTGAGCTCACTTTGTAGCCCAGGCTGGCCTCAAACACGCAACCATCCTCCCGCCCCAGTGCTGGGATTACAGGCATGTGCCACCATGCCCGATTCGAACTAGTGTTAATAATTAGTGTTAATTATCGGTGACAATTTCTAAGTGCCCTTTGACCTTGAAATTCTGCTTTCAATAATTTATCCTGCAGATATATCTTGAAATGATTTATATGTTACTCATTGTAGCACTGTTTATAATGATAAGCGGTGAGGTACGTTGTGTAGTTTAACTGTCCACCAATACATTGTGGGTTAAATAAATTATGGTGCACCCATTTGAGAGAAGCATTATGCAGTTTAAAGAAAATGAGGAAGTTTTTTACGTACAGATATGAAAAGATCTCCCAGGTACATTGGTAAGTGAAAAGAGAGGGCAGAAATGGGAGGAGGAAGGTGTACATGCATTTCGGCAGACAGAAATCTCTGCAAGGATGTATCAGAAACTAGTAACTGGATATTCATGGCAGGTGGCCATCACTGGCAAGTGAGGAATGAGGTGAGAGGGAGACCTTACCATCTGTTTTTACTTTTTGGTGTTAGCCTAAGTAAAAGGCAAACAATTAAAAAATTTCTAGATATTTGTCATCTTCGAACACACGTTATTGACCTCATGTTAATTATTACCACTCTGACTTAATGTATGTTCGTAAAAATTATTCTGAACTAGCAAGTCTATTATTTTGAGTTATTAAAGTAACCCAGGACAACATGAAATCCTCGGTCACAGTGACCGGAAGACTTCAGGACTGAGCAACATTCACGGGACCTAGGCCTGACTGCCCCAGCCCTTCACACATTCCCCGCCTCTGTCTTTAGGTGGTTCCTTCATCAGCTTCAGGCCAGGTTCGAGGTTACTATGTCGACTGGAAAATGTTACGTGATGTGAAGAGACGAAAAATGGCTTACGAGTATGCGGATGAGAGGCTGCGGATCAATTCCCTCAGGAAGAATACCATCTTGCCAAAAGACCTTCAGGTTAGCTTTCACTCATATGAGGTCACTTTGGTACTGCTTGCTGTGACATGGTACCCATATAATTTCTGAAGAATAAGATCAAATACTCCAAGTCAAGAAACACAGATAGCCTTTGAACTGACTGGTAAGTCTCAGACTAAAGATGACTACTCACTCCTAAGTAGCCTTTTAGCCATTTCTTAATCCAGTCTCAGCAAAGTACTGATGCGCGATGACCATGGAGAAACTGGGCTACTGTTTCTCTTGCATGTCATCCCTGTCCTTCATCCCTCAAGGCCTTGGGAGGCACGGGTTGGTGCTAGCGATGATGTTAGGTGTTAGCCAGAGCATTAGCGGCCGAGAGTAGGCCCAGGTGGGGCCTGGGGTGCTGATCGTATACCTTTGTGGTTTCTCTTAGGAAGTGGCTGATCAAGAAATTGCTGCCCTTCCCCGGGACAGCTGTCCTGTTCGAATCAGAAACCGCTGCGTTATGACCTCCCGTCCCCGCGGGGTGAAGCGGCGCTGGAGGCTGAGTCGCATCGTCTTCCGCCACTTAGCTGACCACGGCCAGCTTTCTGGGGTCCAGCGAGCCATGTGGTAAATCAGCTCCAGAACCTGCTGAGCTTTCAGGGTAACCAGTCCCTGCAAGAAGAGACTTTCCTAATAAACAAAACCCTAATTTTTATAGCGACCCAGTGTACTTGTCTATAATTAAATTACTTTTAAATTTTATATGAAGAAATTTGGATGTTTCATTTTCAGTGAATTGCCTTTTTGATTTAGTAGGTTAGTCATGCTGTTCCCATGTGGAGAAAAATACGTTCTATGAAAAATATGTTCTATGAAACCATGCTATGATTTCCTTTTCCTGTAAGGGTTTTTGTATTTTTAAAAGAATGTTACTTCATAAACAGTATTTTCTTACACATGACCCAGCTGACAGGTCATTCATCTATGGCATTTTGTAATCCTGGGCTGGCTTCCCTGACCTGCAGAATTTACCTTACCTATTAATTATTGTTAGAGAAACAATAGCTTGCAAGTAAAAGCTGAACAAAAAGAACTACTGTTTTTCTGATTCATCTGAAGGCCTCCAGGATGAAATATGCCTCTAAGCCCCTGATAATCTGTACAGAGGAAGATGTCTTGGAATAGTATGTATCCCCTCTACTCCTATTCACTTCCTTGGTGTAACAAACAAGTCAGGATAGCAAAGGTCGACTTGTGGAGTAGCTCAACAGTATGATCAGCCCAGTGATGAAAAATGTACATAATAGGATGGAAGAATGTACTTAGGATCAGGAAAATATTCACGGACATGATACCTGAACTAAAATCGGATGAAGATGATGAGTCACTCCAGTAGGAATAAAGCACAAGGAAGAAGAGAAATGAATGTGTCGAAACTAGTCACTTCAAAGTATCAGAAATATGAAGCATAAGAGCCATGTTTATAGAGCATTTCACATGTCCAATACCAAGTATTGGAGAGCTTGAAATGACATTAAAGCCAGGTATGGTCCTGCACATCAGTGATCCCAGCATTTGGAAGGCTGAGGCAGGAAGATCCCTTTGAGCCAGCCTGGGCTACATAGTTCAAGATCAGCCTGAATACTACACCTTGTCTCAAAAAAAAAAATCAGTTTATTCTACAAATCATTGATAGCTGTGTAAAATGGACTATACTCAAGACAACCTGTTAGGATGTCTGAATTGTGAATCTAGGGCCTAAACTAAGGTAGGTAGTGGTAGCAAAGAAGAGGACTTTTTCTAAGACAGTTTCTTGAGAGGAACTATGTAGTTCAGCTAGCCTTGAGCTCATGGTGATCCTGTTATAGGTGTACACCCTCACACTCAGAAGTATTTTTTAGAAAGACAAGATTAATAATTTAAGGTAATTTCTGGGTTCCTGCTAAGATAGATGGCAAAGGGCAACTCCAAGATAAAAAATACTAAAAATAGAAGAGATTCAGGAGAAACAACGTAAGAGTTGAGGTTTCCAGTTGCATAGTGTTTGGGATGCCTAGTAGAACAGCAAGCAGTCTGGAATTCAAGGGGAGATAGGAGGGGATTATCACAATATACCTTGGATTTTTGTTTGTGTGTGTTTGGTTCTGGGGATCAAAGTCAGGGTCTAGTGCCTACAAGGCAAGAACTCTACCACTGAGCTGCATCCCCAGTGCAGATTTTTATTTCCTAAATTCATATGGCAATTCACCAACTGGTGTCCTCTAATATCTCAAATTGTAACTAGTATTACATCATAAGTAGAGCAAATTTGCTGAGTTCTAGCATGTTATTGATAGAATATCCCATCCCCTCCCCAACTTTTGGGTCATTTGATCCTAAGCATAATTCACATATTTCATCCAGCAGCCATTTCTCTGATCATTTTTGCTTCACAAGGGCTTTTCTTACCCTCCTGTCCTTGTCTTTCATTTGTTGGAGAAACCAAGCTGTCCAACATTTTTGGCCATGCTTCTTTATACATCCTTTTTTCTTATCTCTTACGTTTCCTGTAAACTAACAGTTACATCTAAAGGCTGGACTTGATTCGGGTTATTTTTTAGGGATAAATTTTTATTGGTGGTGTTACTTTCCTATCACATATGCTTAGGTTAATCAGTGAGTTCAGGTAGGGCCAGCTTGATCCTTGCATTTAGAGTTCACCATTAATTAATTTACCTCACGGTTTATGCATTTCACATACGGTTGTTACCCTGGACCTATCATTTCATTAAGGGTTGCAACTGGTTTTCTGATTCCATCACTGTTCTGCATTAGCTAGAAAGTACCACCATGGAAGCAGAAAGCAAGCCCTTGCCAAAAACCAACACTAGCACTTTGACCTTGGACTTTCTAGTCTAAAAAACTAAGAAATGCTTCTATCATTTAGAAATTATCAGGCCGGGTGTGGGGGTGCACACCCTTAATCCCAGCACTCAAGAGGCTGAGGCAGGAGGCTCGATGTGAGTTTAAGACCAGCCTGGGCTACAAAATGAGCTTAAGGCCAGCTGAACTTCGTAGCAAGACCCTGTCTCAAAAACATGAAAAAAAAGAAAAATTACCTAGTATAAGGTTATTTTTTTATAGCAGCAGAATAGATCAAAGTGAATTACGTTTGTTTTAGTATTTTTTTTTTGGACACAGGGTTTCACTATGTAGTTTAGGCTAGCTTTGAACTCTATAGCACAAGCTGGCTTGACTTCCCAGTGATCCTCCTGCCTCAGCCTCCCAAGTGCTAGGATTATAGGCATGTGCTGCCACACCCAGCTGCTTCTGTTTTTGTTAAATTTTATTATTCTAAAGTGAAAACTGTCAGAAAACACATTCACAGAAATACCACTTTCATCTCTCTCTACCTTCTTCCCCTATGAGTAATAATTTATTAGTTTTAGTTTACCATTCTAGTTTCTTTCTAAAATATCAATGTGTTCACATTTTTAGGGAAATGTGAAGTGTTTTGTACTGTTTTCCCATTTTCCTTGACAGTGTTTCAATGTTCTGCATGAATCACTGCAAATTTGTCATTTTTGCATAGATCCTAGAAATCTGAGCCAGAGGATAAATGCATATTGTTGTGGTTTATATCTAGAGATCCCCCACAAAGCCTCATATGCGGGGTTTTGGGGAGGCAGATGGGTAACAGGTGATACTCCTCACTGGATCAGTCCACTGATGCGTTTATAGTGGGGTGTGCTGCTGGGGGGTGAAATCTGGTTGGAGGTCACTGGGGCATGGCCTGGAAGGGTGTGCCTTCCTTCCTCCCCAAATTGCTCTCTGCTTCCTGCTGCCATGCTGTGAGCTCTTTCTTCTTTGCCATGTCACCCTGCCTTGCAGCCAGCCAAGTATATTCTAAAACCTCCTTTAAATTGCGAGTGTTGGGTATTATGTCCCAGCAACGAGACACCTCATCACGACAGGTACTACCAAGTAACTTCCACATGGCCTTTTTGTGTCACAGTTTTCCACAGCCTCAACACTCAGGGTATTAGAGTTTTTCCAGTGAAAGGTAAGAAAGTGTGGTTTCTTAGTACTTTTCTTGAATGAAGTGAGCACCTCTTTATTAAAGGTCATTTACCTTTCTTTTTCTATAAACTCTTCATAATTCTTGGAAACAACGTGTTATTTGTGGTCATAGTAGGTTTGCCTCTTACCATGTATTATCTAGTTACTATTATCAAGATTTAATTTTTTCCTTTTGAAGTCACGAAATGTAATTTCCCCCCAATCCTTGGTTGCAGGGAAATTCCGTGTCTTTTAGTACTTCTATGCTTTCTTTTTTACATTTAGATCTTTTGCTTATAGAATATATCCACAGGGCTGTTTTTTTATTGTTTTTGAGACAGGGTGTAGTTAAAGGCTGGTCTTGAGTTCACTGTGTAACCCAGGCTGGTCTCAGAGTCACAGTGCTTCTCCTGCCTCAGCCTCCCGAGTGCTGGAATTACAGGAGTGTGCCACCATGCCAGGGAAACAGGGCTATTTTTAATTATGTTAGTCTCATTAAAACCTATCCTTACTGTTTTGAAGAGCTATGTACCATATTCTAAAACTTTCATATGCTTTGTTTATTCTGTTTTTTCTATTCTGGTCTTTTTACTCATGTGCCAACACCATAGAAAGATACTATGTGTTTGAGTATTCACTAAAAGCTATCCTGTCTACAGGCTTTTTTCTGTACATTAATTTAAAATTCTACCACTTTTACCAAATTCTTATTAACTATAGTTCGGGGTGATACACTGATTTTACCTCCATGTATCTAACTGTTTTCACCATACTGGCTGTTACCTCCATTACAATGTACTGAAGATCACCGGCACCTTCCTCTGCCTTCTCATTTTAAGAAAGCCTGACTTTTCTGTGTGACATACTTCTGGACAAACACATAATAAAACTACTCTGTTACATAAAAATCCAACTTTATTGAACATAGGAATAAATGGATTTTCAAATTATTTTTACTTTAGGGTTATTAGTTTTGAAGCTATCTGATCCATGGTAGAACTTACTAAATGGCACTATACGAAGATGTTTTTCTATTACTTTTTCTATATTCATAAACAAATATATTTAAATCTAGATAGAAACATTTGTGATTGGATTAGTGCATGGTAATCCCTGCTCTCTGCACTGCTCAAGCTGGCAATAGGAGATCATCCACTCTACAGCAAATATGAAGCACAAGCACAAATTTGAATTTTATACAAAAATTCAGTTTTACTCTTATTCTTACATTAGTGGGAGCTGACATCTGTTAACTTACAGGCAAGCATATACTTTTGTTTTCTAACTCCTAGCTGAACAAAAATATACATAACGTATTGTTTTCATTAAGCAAGACTTGCTTTTTATATTTTAATGAGAATACCATGTGACCCTTTCATGAACAAAATGACCAGGGTACTAATGGAATCATCTTTGGAGGAAGTACTTAATACGCATATCTTATTTAAATAAATCCTCCAGTAAGAAATGGAGAAGTCACTGCCTTGACTTTGAAGGCTTTGTAGCTATCTGTCAAATTTCTATGTGCAGCTCACCAACATTCCCTTATTGGAAATATCAGTATTTCCATATCATAGTTCTCAAAAGGACTTGAAAGTCTCAAAACTCTGTATCTCCTTTGGCTTGCTTCTCTCTTGATTCCACCCAGGCTTTATTAATGGTTCGCTTCATATCATCATCTCCATCTTCATAAATTTTCTTTAGAACATTCATTAATCCCTCACTAGGATCTGTCTCAGCATCATAGGATGGCTTTCTGTTAAAAAGAAAACACACAATAACGGAAAAGTCAACATATATAGTGCCAGGTTGTTAACAGAGGGGCAGAGATAAGAGGAAGCCAGATTATCCATCAAAATATTCACCATCAATATAGCACACAGAATTCATCTTCATAATGCACACGTGTACACAGTGTAGAGAAGAGTGGTCATCAGAATGGTAGGCATTACCTTGGGATGCTGGGATTGCAAGGGATTGTTTTTAAGCAGGAAAAAGAAGTACTTACTTTTCTGACTTTCATTTTTAAAACCACATTATTCACATTAAAAATACCATTAATTAAGGGAAAAACCACAAGCATATTACACATGGACACATGCTAAGACTCACACATTGGAAAAGCCTTTCTCCTAAGCCTGAGATTCATGGATCTGAGCCTGGTGGTTAAAGAGCATAGTCTTAGAGTCAATTAACCATTCATTCAATTCATAATTATTATCCATTCAGTTCCTAAAGCGCAGACTACACTGGGCACTGGAAACACAGTAAGGCAGGGTCCTCCCGTACTCAGGCATTTCAGTCTAGATTTAGAACCAATTTCACAGATAGTCTGACAAGCCTAACCCTAGCCAGCCGCATCCCAAATGCATGCTGGGCTGGGGATTTAGCTCAGCCGCACAGCGCCTGCCTGGCAAGCGCAAGGTCATGAGTTTGATTCTCGGTACTGGAAAACAAACAAACAAACCAAATGCATGGTGGTCACCAGGTAAGAAAGCAATGTGGACAGCTATGTGACTCAGTACAGTAGTACATCACCACTGAAGAAGACAATCCAAAACAGAACAATTGACCTAGAATGGAAGCTTCTTTTTGCGGGGAGGCAGGGGTTTGAGACGAGGATTCACTGTGTAGTTCAGGCTGGCCTCAAACTTGTCATAATCCTCCTGCCTCAGCCTCCCAAGTGCTGAGGTTACAGGTGTACACCACCATGCCTAACTGAAGTACCTTTTAATAAATATTTTTTAAACATTTAGGATAAAAGTATTCTAGAATTTTTCACTCTAAGCCAATGATAATAAAAACTATCAGAAATGTCCCCCCAGAAGTGCCATGTGATCACAGACGGAGCTTTCAGAAGCTTTTCCTAGCCGGATGTGCTGTCCAGCGGGCCAGGTGCAGGAGATGGGGCAATGGGGATGTCTGGAGACAGCGTATCCGCCCCCCCCCCCCCATTCTGCTTCCTGGCCACCAGCAGCTCCACCCCTGTGCTCCACCACACCCTTCGGCGATGATGTTCTGCCTTGAAGGCAGCGGACGATGGACTGAAAGGGCCAAAATCACCCTTCCGCCTTCGACCACTCCACGGTTAGCCGGAGCGTCACTTGGGCAGCGTGTCTGTTTCTGCACTGACTTTCCCGAGCATGGCTCGGGCAGGTGCCACTTCAACCAGCTCACATACTCGTACATCTGCTCATCTGACTCAGGTAGACTATTTCCTGCATTTTTTAATTTAGAAAATTGTATTGCCTTTAATGTTTGTTTCTCATGAAACCTAATAATAAATTCTGGTTATTTTCTTTTACTATATTGTGTCTATTTTCTTTGTGAAAAATAACCTATAATTTTGTGCCACAATGTACAAAAACTTTTATCGTAAGTACATTAGATATAATGTTTATACTTCTCCAGAACTCAGTGATATCTTTTACAATACCAAATGGAGCTGTTTGGGACACTGAGACTGAATAGGAAGGGAGCGCCAAAAGATCTGGAAGGAAGCAACTGAAAAAGGAAGAGATGGCAGCATGTCAGAGGAAAAGTTCATGTTATGAAACAAAAGACAAAAAACATGTCTCCTTATTCTCAACGATTCATAATACAAAAATGATAGAACTTGAAAGATGAAGCTAAAAAAATTCCAACAGTGGTCAATGATTATAATTCTATGGGTGGTGCTGACAAGTTGACAATATCTAACAAGCTATCCTTTAATCAAACACTGGGGAAAAAATATTATAAAATAGTTATGCACCTTCTGCACTGAACAGTATGGAACTTGTTATTCATTCAAAACAAAGAGAAGTCAAAAAGTCACTTACAATTTAGATAGGTCTAACGGACCAAATAACTGAAAAACACGGGATGGCAAAATGGCAATGAAGATGTTCATCATCGACATCTTCACTATTACATTTAGTGGTTAGACATTTTATTGAAATTATACTACCCACATATCTTCCCAGAAGAATTTAAAGCATCACACCACAGTGATATATGCACACCCACATTTACAGCGGCACAATTTGTTATAGCTAAATCATGGAAACAGCCCAAATGCACATCAACTGGTGAAAAGATGTGGGTGTTTTTTTTACAACAGAGTACTACTGTGCCATAAAAAAGGATAAGCTCAAGACATTTCCAGCTAAATGGATGCAACTTGAGATCATACTCTTAAGTGAAATAAACTGGACACACATGTGTAAATACCGTATTGTTTTCTCTAATGTGAGAAACTGAAAGGGTAAGTAAGGACCACAATGTATAACAGATATTGTGAAGTAGGAAGAAATTGTTCAAATGGGAAAGTGCACTAGGGAGGGACAAGGGGGAAAGGAAGGGAAAAGAAAAAATGGAAAGAAAGCTTTTATACATAAGAAGTGTTGAAGGAAGGACAGGGGAATGAGAAAAAAGCAGCATCAAGTTATGTCATATACAGGTACAAATTCCCTATGATGAATGTGGTCATCGGTATACCTAAAATGTACCAATAAACTTAATTAATAAAAAAAGAAATTATACCAGGTGCAGACAAAAAAGAAAGGCCTATTAACAGAACAGTGCAAAGCATGTTGTTCAAAAACAATAATGCAAAAAGAATTCATAAAGACAGCAGCCACTACTGTCCAGACTGTAAGCCTGCGTTGTGTGCTGAATGTTAAGATGTACCACACACCGAACATTACTGAATAAATGTGATAAAATTGTCATTTTTATATTTGCTGTTATATTGTCTTATAAAAATTAACCAAAAGAAGCAATTTTGGGTCATCCTGTATTTAAATAATTGCACTGGTAAGTGGTTAAGTTGCAGGTGTCAGGTATTTTGTCCCAACAATGGGAAAGCTGACCAATAAATAATCTGAGGAATCAAAACATGATTCGGATACCTGAACCTTTCTGGAGCCCCTTAAACAAAATACTGGGAACAGGCCCAATATACAGAGACACACCTCTAAGTCCAGGAGTAAGAACTAAAGAGCCACCTGAAACTACAAAAACCTTCTCACAAACCAACTCCCTAGGCTATGTCCTCTTCAAACAGGCTCTGACAGTCAAAAAGAAATTAAGACAATGAAGTTAGTGAACATCAGGAGACAAATGGTCAAACGAAACTATAAAGCTTGCTCTATTATTCTTAGTCAAACTATAATCCCAGCCAAGAACTTGGTTAAAATCCTTAAAGAAATGAAAAGCAGACTCACTCTTTTTCTTTGCATTCTTTTTCAACCTGAGTTAAGTACTCCCACCGAGTGTTTTCAGCTTTCTTTCTACACAAGAGAAGAACTGTATCAGTCTTGATCTAGAAGGAAAGTGGGAAAAATACAAGCATGGTTATTTAGAGAACCGTTTTCTTCTCCATCAAGTGCCTAGTAAGTGTAACATTTATTCTAGGTGCTAGTAATACTTTTATGAATAGGCTAGAACCTGGGGAAAGACCATAAATAAGGAAAATTTCAACAGCTTCACTAACTGGTAAGTGCAACCCTCCCCCAAAACAATTAAAAAAAAAAAAAAAAAGACACCAAAAAACCAAATAGTTACGTGTAATCAAGATAAAGAGGATGTTAATGGGGAAGCAGTGGGCAAGAGCTTCATTTCGAAGGCTGCTCTGAAATGAAGTATGAATGGAAACCTAGGATCCAGGAGAAGGGCATTGTAGGCAGTTATAGAGCAAGGAGAATGGCTCCAAGAGGAGCTGACCTTGGCATGTTTGAAGAAAAGGAGCAGCTGAATTTTAGTGATTAAAGGAAAGAATGATATAAAGTATTTGGAGCAGGAAAGGAAGAAGTAACACAATTCTTTCAACAGTGCTCAAAATGTAACTCCTAGGACTCTTCCGAGTATTCCTTCATCTGTGGGATTGGTGGAAGAAGGATGCAGTGACACAAGCTAATCACTAAACTGTATCTTAATATTACTTTTAAGATGTTATATATAACATAGGCAGCAGAATAGAATATATATATACCCAATGTACTAAGCTTCATTTATATGAACTGAATAGAAAAGAATCATGTCACTAGTGAAAGCTGAATAAAAGTTAAAAAAAAAAAAATTTCAAGGTGGTATGGTGGCACACGCCTATAATCCCAGTACTTGGGAGGCTGAGGAGGGAGGAGCTCTGAGTTTGAGGTCACATGGGCTACAAAGTGAGTCCAAGGCCAGGCTGAACTGCATAGTGAGACCCTGCCTCAAAAAGACAAAAACAAAAACAGAAAAAAAAAAAAAAAGCTTTCAGTGTTTTTATAACTTCTATAATTAGGTTAAGTACTTAGGATTCCCTTTATGTATCAAAAACTTAAGCACAGTATACTTAATAATAGTTGCCATTAAATTACGCACCTTCTATTCCCCATATTTAATGCAACATTCTTATAATAATCAATTCCACAACACGAGTGGGCAAATGTTTTCTGTGAAGGGCCACATGGATCTGTTGTAGCTACTTAACTCTGTGGATCTGTTGTAGCTACTTAACTCTGCAGCTGCAGTAGGAAAGCAGACAAAACAAATACACCAAGAGCAGCTACATTCTGGTCACATCTTATTTACAGAACAGGCAGCGGGCTGCAGTTTGAGATACCCTAGTACAGTGGATAAACTAATTCTAATTACCTAGTTATCTCAATTTTAAGTCAGCCATGTTCACTTGAATTAGGTATCACAAAATTATGATAAGAAAGAGAGAGAGAGAGAGAGAGAGAAAGAAAGAAAGAAAGAAAGAAATCACACTCACTTTTTTTGAACTGCCTTCCACCGAGATGGGTTTCAAGAGATTGTTCACAATCATAGAGTAACTCTTCCCATTTAGATTCTTTACCAGAAGATCAAATGACCTAAGAACAATGGTGAGTGCATTAGCTTTATAGTTCTCATAAAAAAAAAAAAAAAAAACCCACAGCCACTGTGTACATTTGACCATGCCAGACCATGCCAGGTGATCTCCACACGCCTCAAAGCAGTTATAAAACATAATTCTAACTTGAGTAGAATTTTAGCAACTGTCCAGAAAAGAATCCTATAGTAAGGCTGATTCTCAATGATCACTGTCTTTCTCCTGATGAGAAAAACTCACCTCTCTGTGAAATGCACCTGCACGTTCTCAGCAGGAACTTGGTGAACTCCAGTTAAGGTAATGTAGATTTTCACAAACTTATCTGACTGATCCCATCCTACCAACAACAACAAGCAAAAGATGGGTCACAAGCAGGTCCCTCAAACTGTATCTGGAACACCAAAATGCATGTGGCTCATAAGAAAAATCAGTAATAAAGTAAAAATATGAAAACCCAGTAATAGAAACCAAATGAAGATCAGATAGTCCTTGTTTAATAACTGCTTGGTTTTGTGACCTGTTTTTTTTTTTTAACAGTTCTATACATGTTCTTTATAGGGCCTCAATATCTTGTTTTGTACAGTATACTTGTACAGTAAGTTTTGCTGATTGTACTATAGCGTACTATCACTTTTATGTTCTGTTATACAGTGGTACCTTCGTTCAGAACTTAATTCTTTCCACAATTCTGGTTGCAAACCAAATTGGATGAGAACTGAATCAAATTCAATGGTAGGTTCAATGGTGACTTTATGGGGGAATTTGCTTCAGTCCTTGTTCAAAATGGGACCAAAATTGTGGAATGAATTAAGTTCATGAACCGAGAAGCCACTTTATATTACAGTCATACATGTAAAAGTTGTGCAAATAAAAGCAAAGTCATCAAGTTGGGAGTCTCCTTTGACCATTTCTTTGTTCTGAATATTGGAATGCACATACTACGTACAGTTGCTCACTTAGCAACCAATTCCTTAGCAGGAGGACCTCCGAAGACCTGAATTTGGTCACTAAAGGAGGAGTATCTGTATAAATTTTTTAGATATGTTACATTCTTTTTAAGATTAGCTCGCCAGGCATGTTCCCAAGCACTTGGGAGGCTGAGGCAGAAAATTCACTGCTGGTTTGAGGCCAGTCTGGGTACATAGTGAGTTCAAGGCCAGTATAACCTATATAGTAGGACACTGTCTCAAAACAACAACAACAAAAGAGAGCTCATTTACTCTGTCTGGGAAATAATTTTGACCTATACCTAAATACTGATAATTCTCCACTAAACTACATGACTAAACATCAATACTGTCTAACTCTATAATTTCTACTTCTTTAAGCGTCTAAATGCAATTCTAGCTCCCTCAGTTCCTCTCCATGACAAGGTAAAGCATAAGCTTAAAACACTCCCAATTCTTCATCAGAACTTTTTTATCTAGCTAACCTAATATAAATAAATACCATTCCAGTATATATTGTCAACCTGCCGTCTAATCTAGACGAGCACTGTCAACATAAAAAAATATACAAGCCACATACAAAGTCTGAATCAGCAAGAGGGAAAATGCCTTCTGCTCGGCAGAGAACGAGATGGAGGCGCAGGCCATACCGTAATTACTGATCTTCACTGTGTATCCTGTTGTGATGGGAGCAACCACAGCAGCTGGTTTTTCATTGTCAAGAAGTTCTGGTTTCTTCTGTGA